GGGTCTTGTCGATCCTTAGTTGTCATGACTTTGCTGCGCATGATGGCTGTCAGCCGGAGAGCAGTTCTAAGGCCTAGTCCCGCAGCAGTGCCCTCGGTCGTCTCTGAAACCTACTTACCATGTGGCAGAGCACGTCGCACTCTTGGTGTTGCCTCCGTTCGTGTCATCCTCGGGGCGACCACCGAGACATCGGCTTATTGACGCCTTCCAAAAGCTACTGTGCAAAAACTGACTGCAGAGTTAACGGACCTCAGGTGCGTTTTGTTCGGGTTACCGCAACGAGTCTGAGCCCGTTTGAACAGCCGCCTCTTGGAGCCTCTCTGACGTCATACCCCAACATGAGTTCGAAAATTTAAGAAAATGTTACCTAAATCCTATCAGTTTGCCCTCACCCAGCTAAGTAACAACTTCATTTATTACTCCGCCAAGCTCTTCGAGAATGGGACGTAAACAAGTTTGCCGTTTGGTCGTGCATCGTTTCCCATGTTGCATGCTAGCATAGTCACTTTGTAGGACTTCAAAAATACTGCGGCTCAGCTGGACATAAACATTTTCCGCGGCTGAGAGTTATATATATATTTACTTGTAGTGAGCAACCTTATGCGAATCGTAGTTTCGAAAAACTCTTATCTTTCCTATATTGTTTGAACGTTGCAAATGAAAAAAAGAGTATTTTGTGGTCCTTGCATCTACTGACAGCATCAAGATATGCACTTTCGGCAACCATCAGGGAACCAGGCCACCCGTTAATCAGTTTTGTAAATTTGATGCTATTAAATCGATCGTTATCTTACTTATCACGGTAGGGTTGATAGAGGTCATTTTAAAAGAACATTTACTAAAACACTCGATGCATCGCATTTCTTTGAATTACTTAGATCTTCCCACTTCATTACATACAGCATTACAGAAGGTGGGCTAACTCATGAAATGTCAACCAAAATTCCAAGATGCGTTTTTGCTTCGAAAATACTAATTAAGTAGGGTTATGAAACTAGTCAGTCTGCAATATAATGCTATAATATTTCAGTAAAATCAGAATGCCGGCTTTCGAATGAACTTCTTTCCGGCTGCATGCGAAAAGTAGACTTTGTAAAAAATGATTACTTACGTAGCATGAATTTTTCTCGTTGATGTTCGATGCCCCTAAGAGTCCAATTATATTTAACAGAAAATATGCATAAACATATTCATTCTATTGCTCATTCGGTAAAAAATTACGTCTTCTTCTAATTTTATACTCAAAGGAGGAACAAAATTCGGTTAGAATAAAAGTTCCTAATTGTGGAACCTTTAAATACCGTGAAATGGCCACTCATAAACCGTCATATCTCTGCATTAAACAATGTGGCTTGTAAAGTTAAAAATATGGATTAAATCCACTGCTTAATTTTGTGAAACCTATACGCTCCCTCTTTATTACCGCAGGGCAATGTGTGGTTTTCCGTGCGCGAAAATATACGGATTGTAGTTTGGAAACCCTCAATCCAAGTATAACGGTAGAGCGGGTTTAAAATTATTCGGGAATTAGAAAAGTTTTTGAAAACTGAATTATACCCTTCCTTCGAGTACAAGATTGGAAGAAGACATAATTGTCTACCGAATGAGCAAATGAATAGATATTTTTATGCATGTTTTTCATGAAATATAATTGGACATTTAGGGGCATCGAAAATCAATGAGAAGATTCATGCTATTTAAGCACTCATTTTTACAGAGTATAGTTTTTGCATGCAGCCGGAAGGAAGTTCATTCGAATGCCGGCATTCTGGGGTAACTGAAATATTATAGAATTATGTTGCACGTTGACTATGTTTACAAGCCCACTTAATTAATCTTTTCGAAGTGAGGACGCATTTCGGAATTTCGGTTGACATTTCATGAGTTAGCCCACCTACTGTACCCTGCAACGCGTTATAAATAATAGATGGGAGTATTCGTACTCTGGGGACTTTGGAGGAAAGGGAGGGCACAATCAAAATCCCTTGTGTGCTAAGGAGGGAGATGAAAATTTGTGCGACACTGAAGGTGCGGCCCAGATGGGCGATGTAGAAGACCATCGTGCGCCTATGGAGGGAGGAGGGTGCAGGGCATGCCCAGGGGCACAGAGGTGATCGCTTTGATGGATGAACGATTATCACAGAGACCTGGTCACACGCATTATTCAATGCCCACCCTGTCTCGACCTAACGCTTATTCATCTCCTTTGCCTCCAGGAGTCTGCATTGGGAGCGCAGTGCCAATCCTGACAGGGTGGCAGAACTAGACGAGGGCAGACTTTGCGGCGTTCCCTCACAACGCGAACAACGGTTTGACTGCGTGACAGCTCTAAATTGTGTAGCAGTACAGGTAAATGGATGTAGGGTTTGGTAGGTCATTACGACCTCTGCCAGCAACAGCGATACTGACTTAGGCCTATACCTGTGACGCGAAGGAAGTTTAAAGAGAATGCTGCACAACTACTTCTCCTTAGGATGCGTTAATATGCAAAAGATCATCATCTAACAACAAAAATGCAACAACGACTTCTACCACCCGCTTGGATGGAATCAGTAACCTCCACAGGCGACTCAGGTAATTCGAGCTCTTATCATGGAGTACCTCTTCAGTCGACCAGCTTGCCTGAAAAATCCTTTTTCGGAAAGCCCTAATAACTGCCTCACGGGATTGCGGAGAAAAAAGCGCTCTAAAATAGCTTTCATATCCCCTCTCGCACTGGCATTTGATGCATCGTCGACTCCCTTACTGTCTTCGATTAATCTGTCTACCTGTAGACTCGTGTCTGCCAAAGGCCGCTGATTTAGTGGCCGGGACAACTCTGGTCGTCATCAAGAAGGGAGTTCTGGCGTCAAGCAACGTCGGACGGTTTCCTCTTACTGAATAACTCCTTCCTGCGCAGTTGATGATCGATGACTGGAACAAGGCACATACAGTAGTTGTTTAACTCATGAATTGTCGTAATCAAAATTTAAGGGAGAAGTATGTCATATGGTTGGTGTTTTTATTTGCGTTTATTGGATCAAATTAAAGCGCATGAAGCCATTTACTGAAAAAGGATTCACTTCAAATTAGTTTTATTTAAGGAGAACAGACCAGATTTGGCCAAAATCTGACCTTTATTACTATCCGGGTAATTTCCTAAGCATTTAAAATTCACAGATCAAAACCTCTTGTTTATTTGCATGGCTCTGCAAACTAAGATAATACAAAAATGAAAAACACACAATAAATCTCGTCTGGAATAGAAATTATAATTTTATTCCCATGAAAATGAGGTAAAGGCGGGTACTAGGCGCAAACAAATATGTATTGACGAGCCGAGGCATGCTGCTACTTTTCTCTGCCATGCCGTTTGATAAAGATGATCAGACAATTTTTATCAGTAGTTGATTACGAAAGGATATGGAAATTAGCAACAGAAGGGTTGTCGCATAAGGCATCAGCAAGTATTCTCACCATTAATAAAGTCGCTCTGTGGCAATGAATTAATGATAGAACCCTATTCAGAAATAAGTAGGGCGGGCCAAAACGGTCCATAGGTAAGAAAAACGCCGGTTTTACTCGTTATAAACTAAAAAAGTACCATTGCATGCCCATCGAAATCGTTAACTGGGAAAATTTGCTGATATTCTTTATAAATATAACAAGGAATTTAAATGGGATTAGCAAAACTCCATGATCACCCCGTTTTTAAGTAAATAACTTATTAGGGAATGTTTTCAGGTGCTAAGAAATATACTAATTGCCGACCGTTATTCCGGGAGAACACTTACTTCTGCGATGAGGTCTTATATTTAAAAAACCTACAAATTTGTCTTAAATGGTCATATGTGGAAAGGACCTTCCATAATAGCATACTACGCCGAAGGTATACCTCCCGAACTGTCGTTAGTTAATGGTTTGGATGGCTATTAAATTCGAGAGCGGTCCACCACGGACACCACCAACAGTAAGGTGTTCGACACCTCGACTACACCGACATCCGACGACGCTGAGTGGATATTAAAATTTTACATGATAATGTGAAAAGTAACTGTTCCTACGTCAGTAAATAACACTTAAAGAACGGTCGTTTTCACTGATGTAAAACTTTGGAGCACACAGTTTTGTCGGCTTCTGCGTAATACCGATTTTCTTGTAATGAATCATGACATTTCATGAGTTGTTGCATCTGCTGTAGCAACGAAATTGTCTTGAAGGCGGCAGGCGAACACAGCGAAATTGACTGAGGATGAGGAGTAGCCTCTGCTTTGAGAACTCCGAAAAACTTCTGGAAATTCGCGGAGGGAATATCAAAAGCCATACCACACTAAAAAAGAGGGAAGATCCCAGAACTATCGTTTTCCGACATTCTTTTGGATTCTGTGACTGCCTTTCGACCGTTTCAGCTTCGAGTTCCAAAGCGTAACAGGAAATTTTGGTCCATCACTGCACCCAGATCGCGCAAATTCTGTCCAACTGAGGGGGTGGCTCAGTGCAGACGAAGCGGGACCTGGTAAGTCCCATTGAAACTTCAGAAGACAGTGCAATTGAAGTGTAACGACGTCCACTTTTGGGTCCGCGTGAAGGGTGTAGTAGGCCATTCACTTGCTTGCAGGTTTTGACTACACCTAGTGTTCATTAGCTAACAGGCAGCTCCCTGAAGCTAAACTTTGTCCAGCAGCCACACCCCGCTAACCGCCTCAACCGACGGGCTAAACCAGGTGAGGGTATCTGTGTGTGAATCTCAACACACATGGTAATTCTGCCCATTTTTACTCCTTTGTACCTCCTCTCCGCACTTCTCCTCCGTCCCCTGTCTCTCTACTCCCTGCCCTATTCCGCCCTCCTTCGGCCGGCTACAGAACTCTGCGTGGAATCATTACGACCTCAAACTGTAAACCAAACTGAAGATGCTCTAGGCCACTGTCCTGACGACACTTCTCTAGGGAACGGAGACCTCGACCGTCCACTCCAAACATGCCCAGAAGTTCAACCACTTCCATTTCAGCTGCCTTCGCATGATACCAAAACGGAGATGGCAAGACAGGATCCCCGTCACGGAATTCCTACAACGGATCAGTATCATTTGTACTCACGTCATTTTGAGTCAACTGCAGTTACGTTGGGGCGGGCGTCTCCTGAGGATAGAAGAGACACGACTGCCGAAACAACTCTTCTACGGTGATGTCACCACCGGTGTTTGTCGACCGGCGCTGCCGTCTGCGAAGCAATTCGGATTGCCGCCGCCAAAGTCAAAGGGGAGACTCAAAAAATATAACTACCTCTCCTCCTCAGTGCTAACCGTCAACGGTTTCCAACATGCCTGGACAGCCAACGCTCATTCTGCGCACGAATCGGTCCCGAAAGCCACATTCGGACCCGGTGCGCCATCAACCCGACAGCGTTTACCTCTTCTCCCACTCTCGCTCCTGCTACAAACCCGTCGCCGACTGCTACCCTTGTCACCGCTAATCCCAAAGTTAATGCCTCACCGCCACTGTCCGTCTTGCACCAACCCCTGCATCGACCGCAGCGGCCAGCACCATCACCAGCACCACCACGTCTTCACGCACTCTCCACACCGACGGGGCGACGTCCGAAATCCCATCACCACCCTCACTTCCGCGATGTCGGCTGAATTCACACCTGCCCTCATTGCGAACGCACATTCACTTCACACATCGGCCTAGTCGGTCATTTGCGAATCCACCTCAAAGAAACTGCTAAACCAGTGTCTGGAGCACCAAAACGCACTCGTCGCATCAGCCCAAACTGCCTACAGAGAGCCGTACATTTACATGCACCTTCACGTAAACCTGCAACAGACAACCGCCGGCTACACTATTCCATCACACTTGTGTGATCGGATCTGAGATTATCGCGGTGCACCAAGCGCTGTGGCATGGAAGGCTGCCAACCAAAACCCCACCTCAGCCCACGCAGTCTGGCCAGTTGTGCGTGTTTGTGTAGAGCGGGGAGCTGGTGGGCTGAGGGCGAGGCTGTCACGGCTCCGTCTTAACTGCGACACTCACACGCATGTGAGGAGTGTGTGCACTTAATGGGCAGTGCCTCTGCACTGACGTCTGTTTGGTTACCCTGCGTTGAGGCAAATACAGGTCTGGGCTTCACTCTTCTGAGCCTAAATGTCTGCAAGGGTCTGCTATTCCAGGATCAGCAAACCATGGCCCTCGCAGTCTGGTATGCGCTGGCAGTTCACCGACATCTGGTTCCCTGCCGGTAGAAGTGCTTGCGCTCCCGCTGGGTATGCAGATCGTGAACATGGCTGCCCAGTCATCCTCGTCCTCTTGCCTACCGTAGTGTTGTTGCTGGTTAAAATCCTGGCCATTTGTTGTATGGACCAGAGGGTGTAGAGTGGAGCGCCAAGGTGCGGGCTCGGTAGCGCCACCCACCTGGTTCCTCCCCCGACTCCCGTTTTCTCGACTCTGTCTTGATACCTTGATCAGGTGAACAAAGGTTGGTTTCAAAGATGGCAATGACCTTCCCTTTCACGAAACGCCCCTTTTTAGCCATTAATAAGCTTTTGCTGAAAAGTCTGAAAGTCGGTTATTGTTATATAGCACCTTTAATACCGAATAAACCAGGCAATCAAGTAGAAAAAGATAGTGGACATGAGTAGCTGGAAAAGTAGCCAAAAGGAAGCTTTTTATACACTGTCCGAGTAATACCAAAAATCCGTGGAAAACATTGGCACTAACATTATAGTGAGTTTCTCGACTGTGATTTGTACAAGTGTCTGGAAAGGAGTTCATTCATATGCCCTCATGCCGACGCTAAGTAATTAGTTTGAATCCGGGCCCTACAGTGCGTGAACTATCTCATGAAATGTTGGCCAAAATTCTGGAATGCGTTTTCGATTAAGAAGGATTACTTAAGTTGGGTTGTTATACAGACTTTCATATAGCATAACCCTATAACATTTCGGACTAGTCAGGATGAAGGCTTATGAATGCGCTTCCTTTTGACCTCCCGCAAAAACCACCCTTGATAAAAAATGACTACTTAAGTATATTTTGGTTTTAAAAAAGTTTCTAACTATGGGATGTTTAAGACTGTGCGAAGTCCATGCATGCAAGGCCGCACATGGCCGTTTACTAATGCTCCTCGTGAAATGTGCAACAGAGTCCGGATCCATTGTAAAACTTTGTGAACTCTGTGTGACATTATCTTAAAAGTATAGAGAAATATATGATTTTTCTTACGCGGAAAGCATGCGCATTGTAGAATGAAATTGCTAAACGCTGATGCAATGGCAGATCAGGCTGAAAATTATTCGGGAATTGAGAAACGTTTTTAAAGCCGAAAAACACACTTTCTGCGGGCGTAAAATATGAAGACAATGTGATTTCCTTCCAAATGAGCAAAGGAAAGCATATTTTTGCATGTTCTCTATAAATTATATTGGAATTTATATGACCATCGAAAATCAATAGGAAAAATTAATGCTAATTAATTAGTCATTTTATACCGAATGTGGTTTCTATGGGAGGCCAAAAGGAAGTGCATTCACAAGCCCTCATCCTGGCGAGTCCGAAATTTTATAGAGTTATGCTGCATGATAATCAGTATAACAATCACACTTAAGTAATCCTTCCTAATCGGAAACGCATTCCAAAATTTTGGCCAACATTTCATGAGATCGGTCACGCAATGTATGTTACCAAGCCTCGAGACCCTTTCACATACTATGTTCTGCTTGAATGGCGATTTACACGTGCACTTAAAATAAAGAAAGTAACTGATGTGGCCTTGAATGGGCGTTTTCGATATGCTTTCGGCAGTCATTCGAAGAAAACATGATCTGAAGCATAAGTTTGCACTGTAAAGTAGATTTTTCAAATAAAGTATTTAGAATATGAAAATGTTGGTTCCTAGGTTGTGTACTTTGGAAGGGGTCATGACTGGTGGAACAGGTTTTATTCGTCAGGCGTTTTGAACTAATAATCAAATTCATCACCAGACAAAGACAGATATGAGTTTTATGCAACATGAGGTTTTAGAATGGATTTCCAGTGCCCATACGAACTTAAACATACTGATCGGCGTAGTCCACCACATTTCTCTTTCAGAAGATTGCTTCCTACCGCAATTTTTTACCTGACTGAATGTAATAGGTCAAACTTGCGGATTTCTTCGTTTGAATATTAAGGTTTGACCAGTGTCTTCATTTATTCCTCAGCAATTTTTACTACTTATGGTAGATGGGCTAACTTATGAAATGTCAACTGAAATCTCAAAATGCGTTTTCGTTTCGAAAATATTAATTAAGCAGAGTTGTAAAACTGATCAGTCTGCAGTATCATCCTATAATAATTCAGTTACCTCGGGATGCTTGCTTTCAAATGGACTTCCTTCTGGCTGCATGAAAAGGCCGTACTCTGTAAAAAAACGACTACATAAGTAGCATACATTTTCCATTGGTTTTCGATGTCTCTAAATGTCTAAATATATTTCATGGAAAACTTGCATAAAAATTTTCATTCTTCCGCTCATTAGGTAGAACATTAAGTCTTTTTCAAATTTATACTCAAAGCATGGGTACAAATATTTTGTTAAAAAGTTTCTAATTGTGGGACTATTTAATAGCATGAAATGGCTTTTCATAAAACCTCATGTCTCTGCATTTACCAATTTAGTTTGTAAAGCTAATAATATGAATTAAATCCAATGCCAAATTTTATGAACTCCATATAGTCTCCTCTTAAGACCTTAGAGACATTTATGGTTTTTCGCACGCGAAAAATACTTGGCTAACAGTTTGGAAACCCTGAATGCAAGTGTGACGGAAGAGCGGATTCAGACTTTTTCGGGAATTGAAAAAGTTTTTAAAAACCTAACATTACCTAACATCGAGTATAAAATTGGAAGAAGACGTAATGTTCTACCGAATGAACGGAAGAATGAATATTTTATGCAATTTTTCCATGCAATAAAATAAGACATTTAGAGACATCGTAAATCAATGAAAAAATGTATGCCACTTATGTAGTCATTTTTTACAGAGTATAGTCTTTTCATGCAGCCGGAAGGAAGTCCAGTTGAAAGCCGGCATCCTGATGTAACTAAATGATGATAGAATTACACTTCAGACTGATTAGTTTTACAACCCTGCTTAATTAATCTTTTCTAAACGAAAACGCATTTCGGAATTTCAGTTAACATTTCATGAGTTAGCCCACTTATTGCACACTGTGCAATATAAGTATGCTCGAGGAATGTGTTTTGAGAATGCGTGTGCGTTGTCCCCTGTCCGGACTAGTACACCACTGATCCTGGTGATTTTTTATAGTGCACTAAACCGAACGAACAAAGCATTTCTCTACGCACACGCTCCTCACTGGACCCAGAGTTGCATTGCGTCCCAGGAATTTAGAAAAAAAACTGTTCGGGCATTACCTTCTCAACTCGCACTTAAGGCGGTTGGCGCAGTGCTCTGTCATGGAGCTCCAAGAGCGCCAACTTAGGCGCGCTGCGTCTGTAAGACCACACGTGCTTGCTCGCGGTTCAGACGTATCGGCAGTCGTATACGTGGATCGATTGTCATGATGATGATCATTGGTCAATTGACCGTGTATGCAGTCTGATCCACTAAATAATGCCAAGTAGCCTTTACTGCCTGTGTACGTTCCCGCTTATGTTGTCCCTTTTTGACACCTTTAACAGTAGACTTGAAATTCTTTGTTTGCCTCGGAAAATTATGGCCTTCTGTGTTCCTCCAACCCTCGTATTAGTTGTTTGAATCCCCCGCTTTCTTCCCGCGCAACTTGACACTGTCCGACTGACACTACGCCACATCTTTCTGACTGTACGCCTGGAGACATTTGGTTGTAAGTGTAACATTTAAATCTTGCTAATTATAGAACAGTGTTTCCGCACAATTCTGCACTTATTTACATCGTTTCCACGTACGGATTGCACGAAGTAAGCCGACTCAGGTGACTGAATCAGGACAGGCTAGAAGACAGCTAGGTTCAACAGACTCTGTGTGAGTACCGCGAACGGGCCAACAGTTGGCGGTCGAACGTAGTTCACAGCCTGAACTTTTTATTTAAAAACATGCGTCTGTAAAAGTGCCTAACGATTGATACCGCATCCTGCACCTCAATCATTTTCTCGACACCTGTTCAGGACTCACGAGCTGACTAGTTTGCCGGGCCAAAGGTGCATTAATAAATAGGTGTTCCACAGTCGCAGGACTGAAACGCCATCGACAAAGCGTATGAGAGAAGTCGTAAAAGCCACTGGGCACTTGGTAATCGAGTCCTTACTCACGCCTTTCGTTGTTGCGACTGAGCTACAGATACGGGCAACCCGGGAGGTGAATAGCTCCCCTCCTACATTGTAACTGCCAGATTTTATCTCAGGTAGCAACCAGGATCTTCTTTTTTTCCTTTTCGCAGGCGAATGTGGCGAATAAAATCTACCAGACGAACCTTTTGGCAGCCATAGGACATTTGGACAACTGCCCTAAGAGGCTTTTCCTATAATTACCAACTGCACCCGTAATTGCTTAAACTGTGGTTGCAGCGTCATTAGCGTAACCAGCCTTGGAGTTGAGGCCTGCACAGGAGTATGTAGGGCTTTTTGGGGCAGTACTTTCACCATCTGCTTAGTACTAGTGAATATCCAGATGGCTATTCCGTAGGTAGTAAGCAAGTCGAATAAAGTCCCA